TTGTTATACATACCCTGTGACCTCTCAGCTCCTGGCGAAGCTTTTTGAGAAGCTTGTCCTCCACAGTGTCTTTTTTTTTTTCTTGTGGGCTGCTTGTTCTGCAACGAGTGATTTCAAGAAAAAAAATCAGCAAGTTTTTGCAAAATTTCGAAAGACGTTGCGAAGGTCGCTGTTGAAACCGCAGGATCACAGCGTGGTTCATGTTCCGAAGTTCCGCAATTATAAGCTGCGCCATTGTAAACTCATTTCCTTGACGTCACACTTCGAGCAGAAGAAGCTCTTGTCGAAAAAATAATCAGCGACGGACTCACCCGGTCTGTGTCCGCCGGAGCATCATCTCGTAGAGCGCGAATCGTCATCATCGGGGAACACCACCTGTAGTTCTTCAGCCCATTTCGACCAAGTTTCCAGTCGCTTCCCGGTCGTTGGATGCCACTCAAGCCGTCCCGCTCACCTTCGATGAAGCAACAGCGAGCGTTATTTCATCGCTCCACCCGGACTGCGCTGCGCCGCCACCGTGTTGATATGCGCCTCCCAGTCCCGCGCACTTCATGGCGCTCGCTGCCGACGACGAGTCAGAGAAGGCGGGAATGGACGCCGTCAAGTCTGGCATCGCGGTCACCGATGCGAAGCCCGGTTGCGACGCTAGGGTCCGTACGAGCTCACGGTCCGCGGCCATGGCTGTGCTTTCTCGTCGAGTCAACGGGAACACTGAACGGCCTCTCCTCGGTGGCGGAAACAATGGACGCGCACCACCGCCCGCGAAGAAGACTCACGTTCGTCGGCGTGAACGTGGCTGTCGCAGCCACCAGTTCCGGGAAGGCTCAGCGGTAATCCCACTTCTGAATGCTAAAGTTTTCGAAGTAACATCATCGAACGTTCATAAAAAAAACTGGTTTATTTAAAGACAACAAAACTGACGGCTGATCAATCCGGCACCATCTGGATGATTGTATGGGTATGGATACTACTGCGGCACCTTGCAACGCACTTTGTAACGGGCGGTAGCTTGCGCCACCTAGCTTAAGTCTAAAAAGCGACGAATTTGCAAACGTGGTCGGTCACGCTCATGACTGATAGAAATACCAAGAACTCAAACGTGTCACGACAGAAACAGACCCCAAATCATTCGAATTTTAACACTGCAATGAAACCACGCGGAGCTCTCAGACGCAGACACGATGACGCTTGTTTTTTCTGCGTCGACGAAACTCAGGAGCATCGATTTCGCGACCCGGTGCACCACTACACAAACTGCACTGCTTTATAATCCGACTGAGAACTATCGACGACAGAAGATTGCTCGTCGATGTTGGTGGGGCAAATAACACGTAGCACTGATGATTAAACGATGGAATCACAGACGTAGTCGGTCATGCTCGCATATTTGTTGATTGTCACCAAGCAATCACTTTCTTTGTACGCGGTGTTCGGATTCATCCGCCAAGCTCCTGACTTTTGCGGGTTGCGATGTGATATCAGCCTCCCGAAGCTGGTGGATCAAACGGTAATAGCATATCTCACTCGCTGTTGCAGGCTGCTCACCGCGTCCGTGTAACCAGAACGGACTGGAAACGACAACAACTACGCTGAGACTGCAGCGGCTACCTTTCATATTCCTGAAGATATCAACTGAACGTACCTTTCACAGTTTTTCTTGCGCTCTTGTGAGGGGTAACCACTGCGTCAACGCAACTATTGTTGTCGTTTCCAGGCGGCTCATTTCTTGATCGCCACGCCGGGAAGCTACGCGTCCACAGCGTGTGCACAACTTATAATGGTCACTACACTCATTCTGGGACGGTGCAATCGCAGACGTAGTCGGTCCCGCCTGCCACCGGAACGCTGAGAACTTGATCGGGGGGCTCACGTACAGCACTGAAACGCCACAGCGCTCGAAACAACGCGAGCTGCTGACGCCATTTCATGACACAGAGACACAGACACAGCGACGAAGCCCAATGTTGTCCTCATTTCATGGTGAGCGCAGCTAAGCATACTCGGTGCATGCTCCGATTATCCTTTCAGCGCACTTCCATAGTAAACTTTTCGTTCACTAAAAGAAACCTTAGAGAGGCAACTGATAAGTCACTGCACGAATACTTACAAGATCTTTCCAGTTTACTTCCATAACGTTCTTCTAGTGCACTAAAAGATACCCAGGGCAGGCTACTAGTAAGACGCTTCGCATGAACTTAGAAGCTACTTAGGTCTTAGCTAGTTTACTAAAAGTATACTATTACAGTACTTACTTCAAGCATACTAAGAAAGGACACTAATAGTACAAGCCTACTTCTGGCTAGCATCCTTTAAGGACAATTTTAGCATACTTCTTGAGAATGAGTATCTTAAAAGACCGTAAAGTATACTTAAAGTAACCTAGTTTTCGCTAAGGGATGGCTTGAATCAAAAGGCAGGAGGGCTTTTTTTGAGCGGGGTGCGTACTCCCAGCAGAGGTGGTCTAGCTGGAATGACAATGTTATGTCAAGGAATTACAAAGATTCCCGCAGTGGAAGCTCGGTTGTAAATGTTAAGGTTGTGGAGGTGGCACGAAGTTTCTAAAATCCCGTTGGTGGCATCTTCAAGAAGAACGCCAGGAGTTAACTTTTAATTAAAAGGACTAAAAAGTCATCCACATATCTGAAGACTCGGACCCGTTTGTCGTCAGCGAGTGCTTGCACTAACAAACGGTCAAAAGCAGCCAAAAAGATTTTGCATAACACTGGTGCCACACTCAAACCTATGCAGATGCCTTGCCTCTGAACTACAAACTTTACTTCGAAGCCCACAATGGTGGATGTTAGATAAATAGACAAAAGTTCTAAGAATCCATCTACTGACACACCACAGGCATTCTGGAACTGAACCGTTCCGGAGGTTTCGATGCAGTTCCTCACCGCGACAAAGAGTTCATCATGGGGTATCAAATAAAACAGCTCTCAATATCTACGGCGAATCCACCATTCACACCACACAGGCCTTCTTGTAGGGCTTCGACGAGTCGCTCGCTCGCCATCGTCCTCAGTTTCCTCGCTATCCCTATCCCGCTTGCGCTTGCCACCGTCCTTAGGTTTTCTGCCCTCAGCGTGCCCATTCGAGCCAGTGATAGCGCATCTCAGCGGCCCACGTGCACATTGCATTCCTTCGTTAAAGGAAGTGAAAGATTAAAAATTCAGTTGTAAGTCTGCACCTGTGTTGTGTTGCTCGTTCCTTTCTTGTGTCCCGTCTTTTTTGCGCAGTTTTCGATCTTAAACAAATAATGAGGACCGGCATAAGCACAGCAAATATGCAACAAGAAAAATACATACCTGTATGTTTGAGTGCCAACACTGTAAACAAAAGAATCAAAGAAGGCTACCTCATTTTGATACGAGACAATGGAATAGCCACTAGCACATGCAGTATCTTTACTTTTTATATAATGTGCTTCCAAAAGTTTGTGTCATGGTACCTTTGCTTGTGCCAAAGATTCTGAGCTTGTGTAGGAGCGGCTCACATGCACAAGTGAGAAAGTAAAAAGATATGTGCGTGCTTCCTTTATTTGTAATAGACAGCTTAGGTTTCCTCGCACATTGACACAATGGCATCTCTAAAAATTAAAAAAATCTAAGGGCACTTCAAGAGGTTGAATTAACACTGAACATAAGAGACAGATGCCCGAAGCTGTGCCGTGCTTTCACGAGGGTGTGCACAACGTTAAGAAGGTATAGGGTGCTCAAGGAGCTTTCTGTGCTACGAAAACTTGCGGGCATCTGTTCCTCTACACATCGTGCCTCTGACAGGAGCTCTGGCTGCCAGAAAAAATATGCCAGGCCCTCTTTGGGGGGAGGCCTGTAAGGGTCATACAGGCCATCATGTCAATGAGCGTGGAGACCTAAGCCATCTATTACAAATAAAAGCACGCACCTGCCTTTTTACTGTCTCACTTGCACACATGAGCCACTCCAACAGAAGGTTAGGATCCTTGGAACAAGCAAAGGTACCACGACACAAACTTTTGGAAGCAGATTATATAAGAAGTAAATGTATGCCACATGGTGGAGCCTTTTTCATTGACTCATGTCAAATTGGGATGGCCTCCTTCTATTCTTTTGTCTATGTTGTTGGCACTCTGACGTATGATTCTGTATTTCTCTTGTTGCATGTTGCACTTACACTGCTTACACTGTTTGCCGAATTCTCATGGCAAATAAACCAGATGACTGTGTAGCACTCATCCTGTTGTGGTGTGTCTCTGTATCTGTCCTTTCTAGTGCTGTGATCTGTTCAGGTGACTCTAACCAGCTAGTCCAACAGCAGGTCTAGTTAGTCTTTGTTTCAGACTTGGCTGAAACAAGTGGCTCGGGGTGAGGCCTGAAGGCAAAGTCACCAAACCGTTGCAACTAAACCCGGTGACTGCCTTATTTGTAACCGAAAGACGAGATCCACAGAGAAGCATGAGAATGTGAAGCAATAGATAAAAACATATGCACATGAAATGAAACTAATATTTCTATGGTGACATGTAATCTACCAAATATATCACACACCTGTGCATATGCCCACATTTCAAATGGTTTTAAATTTTTCTATTTCCTGAAGCATATATACATATGCAGAAATTCACCCTAAGCAAGTTTTCAACTGCAAATTGCTTTCAGTTATATCATAGCGTTTAATAAGTAATTCCACAGCACCTGCATGGCACATATAAGAATTATGTCTTGCACATAAGAGCCTTAGATGTTGGTGAGCCATGAAATTTGCTGCACTTTAACATTGGCTTGCAGTTTGCAACAAGTCACCCACGTCAACCACAGCTCAAGTGTTTAACTGCATCTGAAGTCAATGCATTAAGACCCTCACTGGCTGGCTTGCTTTATTCCAGCAATTCCTAGCCATATGGCTGGCTGTCTACAAGGCTAGCTCAGAAATGCAATGATGTTTAGATAAGTTTAGATACCTTAAAGGAGACCGAAGTTAGTGTATGTGCCTACATTACCAATATTTATTCAACTTACGTGGAGAGGGCAAGGCCAGACGGTGCGATGGCGCATCGTCATAGGTTGTGAAGACATCCTCAGGAGTTTCGGCCTCCGGGGCTGGAATTTCAACAAGCAAAGATGCCCTTGCATTAAATATATGTTTCTCTGCTTCAAAACAATTTTCCAAGACATTTGCAAATTAATACACACCTGAAAACTCCGACGTTTCAAGTGTTGATGTTTCTTCGGCTAGCCGAGATTTCTTGAGGGCCTTCTTGTAGGTTTCTAGTAAATGAATTCAAAGAACCTCACCAGAAATACTTTTAGAACACAATAAAGGCATGCCCTACAGAAAAGGCCTGTATTGTTAGCGATTAAGCAAATTAGCACATGTTTTCCCCAAGCTCATTCATAGAAATATTTGATTGTGAGAACTCTTGTTCCGCAGAACTAAAATCAAGCTTTTACAAATTTTCAGCTTATTCACAACAATGCAATGGAAGCTCATGCACTCATTTTGTAAATTTATATCTAGCATTCTTGTTATAGTTATTCCACAAAAATTTAAGGCAAAGAATTACATTTTTGGAGGGGAAGAAAAAACTATGTACTATCTTGATCCGAGTTAGCGGGAACACGGGAGCGCATGGCATCGTACCCTATCAGAGCGCTCTACCGGTCAAGCGCGCAACTGCTGGGCATGCGTGTTACGCGGGCGGTGAGATTACCTCCTCATCGCGCGCATCATGTCATCGCGGCGCTCGTCTGTCGTCTGCTACGCGCGTAGTCTGCTATGTGTGTCGTCTGACACACGTGTCGCCCGCTACGCGCACGCTACTGGTGATAGCAAGAAATTCAGTCTATCCAACAGGTGGCGAACCCTACATTACAAGCTCCGCCAATGTGCTCATCTGTTCCTAAATATTTGTTAAAACAAATAAAAATTGTGGGTTTTTCTTATATCAATCACGCCAGATTTGCTGAACCCGCTTCCTGTGAAATCTCTGTGACGAGGGCCGGGATCGTAGACTAATTGTCGGCTAGTGTGTCTGCCTATTAATGTAACCCTGACTTTGGTAACAACGCTCATAGCTCCGCGTTGTTGTTTTCCTTACCGTTATTGCCTTTTTGGTCCATTATAGTTCGATCTGCGCCGCTGACTGTTGAGTTCAGACGCCTTAGTTATTTGCCCATAAGACGACAGAAGTGCTTGCTGCAGCCGATTGCAGTAATGACGAGGTTCCGTCAGGAGTGTGCCTGTCAGAGGTCAGCAGCAGCAAGCTTTATTGCTCAATCAAAACTTAATCTTAACATTTATAAGCTGCTACCTGCCGTTGAAAAAGCTCACATCAATTGAAGCAGCCTCATGAACTGCTTCTATTTCCATTTTGTGGACAACAGCTGCCATCTTTGATGGCAGGCAGTCTTAGAGACTAGACCCAAAAACGCGTCCACTCTCAAGCGTTCCCATTCTGCTAGGAATGTGTTCCAAAGCTAGTCTTCCATGGCCGAATAAATAGAAACCCGTGGCCTAGGCCGCCCTCATTCGGCCCACATGTTCTCAATAATGTTGAGAAAACTAAAAAGGGTGTGACACTGTATTACGCATCAAAATATTTGCAAGCTTATCGCATGGTTATGGGCTGACAATTTCAACTACACGCAGTTATCTCCAATGCCTTCACACGACACGCTACCCACAGCAGACAACGCGCGTAGCACGCACTGTGCGTAGCAGACGACGCACGAGCGCTCCAATGATGCGATGCGCACGATGAGACCATATTGCCTCAGCGGGCGCGATGCGCGTGCACTGAAACTTCCGCTCCGCGCCGCTAGGCTGATCTGGTAGTATCATGCCACGCACTCCCGTGTTCCCGCTGACTCGAATCAAGATAGTACAGTCTGCTTCAGGCTTAAAGGGAACAATGTGCCAGTGGCGCGCTCTTTGCAGAGCGCCACCAATGGGAGCCAGCCAACCTTCAGCACAGGCACAGGCAATGCGGGGGAGCACTTCTGGCATCGCAATGCCTGCCATGACACAGAGTGCTGCTTGCCCTGCGGGTTCCTGAAGGTTAAAAATTTTTCAAGTGTCCTTTTCCGAAAAAAGAGAGAAGGAAGAAGGCCTTAAACACTGTTTTACGGTGTCCCTCTCTCCCCTTTGGCAGCAACATCAGTCATAACCGTCGCAGCAGTGCGCAGTGCAGTGGGAAATGATACAGAGACACCAGCACCTCTGCGCATTGTCTGTGCCTGTGCCAAAACTTCCCTGCCTCCCGCAGGCAGCGCTGCGCATACCACGAGCCACAGACGTGCTGTTCCCTTTAGGCATGAATTAGACCATACACCTAAAACAAAAATTAGTTGTACAACTATGTCTCCAACATTTCGCATGATCCTTAAGTTTCAGCTAGCTCATGTTAATATAAATTTGTAACCTCTTGTAAACAGGTGCTAATTGCAAAAGGAACTAAAGCTACATGACAATGACATTAGCTTTTTTACATGAAACAGACGATGCTAAGTAAGGTATGCCTCATGTTTCTTCTTTCTCAGAATGAATATTAGGCTAGCGTGCTAAGCCAAACCAGGGGTGGAACTCATGAAATGTGCTTGGGAGCAGCCACGGGAGCAGCTAAAACAGCTGTTTTGGAGCAAGTTGGGAGCAGCTAAAACTACACTCTGGAGCAGGCTAGGAGCAGCTCAGATCAGTTTTCATTGCACTCCAGCTTCTGTCTTAGACAAGCACGGGGGCAATTTCAGTTGTGCTTAGCAGCCCAGATAAACATGAGCGGTTAGGGACCTAGGCAGATGGGATAACAGTGTAACAGATGCGAAAACTTGGAACTTTGTGAGCCTTGGTAATTTCTGAGTGGCTTTCAGCTGCTCAAAATGCAAACCAGCACCGCTTATCGCACAGTCCGCACGTCCTCGACAGAGTGATTTTATGTGCGAACCACGTGACGTGCGTAAGCAACGAACGTGCAGTTGCGCGGAAGAACAGGGAAACAAATTTCGAGTTTCTCATATTGCGCAACTCAATATCGCAACAAAATTCGAGTTTATCCTATTGTTCAACTCAATATCGAAGCAGCAGACTACGATTAACGGAGTTATCGTATTCGAAGCGATAAGCAGGAGCAAGGTTAACGTATGCCGAGCAGATCTACCGCTCGCGCGAGAGCTGCTGGCCGGCAAGGTTTCGGATCGGACTGCGTTTCAGATCTATCAAATCACGATTTATCTTGCAGGAATGCGGTTCCAACTTCTAACGATGAAGTGCTCAAAGGAATCTTTTGCTCTTTTGTTTTCAACTGACTGACGTCCGGATCCCGGGCTTCGGAGCCTCAGGCAATCTGACGCTTAACGACTCGACCTTACCTCGACCGACTTGTTTAACCGCTTATGGTTGAAGAATAACAATCCAGAGGCAGGTGGTGTAGCGCTTGGAATCCGAACCCCGAGTTTTTTTCGCACACTTCCTACTCGGGATACACAGGGAGAATAAAGAGAAAAAAAGGATTGCAAGGCCGACCACGCTAAACGCGATCATTGTTGCCAATCGAGTCGATAGAAACCGAAACCAAGACAAAATACAATTTTTTTGGCGCACGCTTTCCAATTTGGTGCATAATGGCGCGAGGTATTGACTGTGGCGCAGTTTCCGAAACATGGCGCAGGATGGCGCAGACAAATGCGTCTGGCGCAAAATGGCGCAAATGGCGCAGCCGTTCCACCCCTGCAAACAGACTGACACAATATGCTGCACTGTTATGTGGAGCAAAAACTTCTAATATTAATCATTTTGAACTGTAATCTGATTAGTAGACCTACGTAACAATGAACATTTATGGAACGTGTCAAGCTATTAGGAATACTTTATTCCAATTAAAAAACAGAAAGAACTACTATGGGCTTCATTACAAACAGGAGAAAGTAGAAGAAAGGTTTCATATATGCAAATATCAAAATTGTCAGGCAAAGGTGCCACCCAGCTTTACAACCGGACAACAGAAATTGAACTCGCATAAATCTCTCACTAAAGAGGTCATGCTTTCCATTCTTATGGTCTCTTCCACAATATTTTTTTCCAAGTGTTTTCTGTTTTCTCAGTGTTTCAGTCAGAAGTGCATACAGAGAAGGAGAGCGCAAGCTTACTGCATCGTGTCAGTACCCTAACCGGGTATCGATTCCAGTTTGCGCCAGGATCAATCTTGTCCCTAATTGCATCCAGGAGGCGGGATCCGGCGAAATCTTTTGGCCACAGGCAACTCCACTCGTCAACCACCAACCAAGAAATTGGCACAGCGGACACATGGTCTTCCTCGGTGAAATTCACCACCGCATACTGCTTTGCCATTCTGCAGGGACAACAAAATCGTCATTTTGTTCAAGCTCTAACCATTAGTATCACAGAAAATGGGAAAAAATATTGGTGACACATATTATTACTAACAGAAGCACTCTCAGTGTCCAAAATCTTCATGGAAGTTTCCAAATTACAGAACGTGTCTCAATGTTTTCTTTCACGCAAACTGTGGATCGAAGAGTAAGAACACAACTAGCTATCCTTTTCTTTCTAGGCTGTGTGAGCAATTGTTTTAGCTGATGCAGCACTTTCCGTGAAATCTATGGAACCTTTCTATCATATCTTAACTCTCTCGGAGTAACAGGAGATGCAAGTTGGAACGACTGCACTAGCGACTAGTGCAAGACTAGTGCGATAGTGAGTTTTCCCTACTGAGACGGGGGGTAGGGGGGGGGGGGGGGGGGGGGGGCCTCGGTGAGGTGGGTATACGCGCAGCAGACTGAATGCTGCTGCAGTCAGTTTAGCCTATGCTGGCATCGGGGCCCCAAGCTCGACCTGCGATAGCGAGAGGGCGACCACTGTATGCCCATCACACTACCGCGGCATTCGGGGTTCAGCGCCATTACCTACTTGTCCGAGCCACCGCTTTTGTTTCACCGTAGGCAAGTTGTGAGCGTATAACCGTGCTGTAAGCAATTGCAGTGTCGACGGTCGGCGGGCAACTATGGACGCCGAATATTGCAATCCCACGGCGGTTCAGTTCCGAAAGCCTCGCCAGACGCCGTGGCGAACACTGCTGATTCAAATTCGAAACTATGCGGAAGACGGCGCGGCCATCGCGCCGGACGTATATAAGCACTTCCAGTACCAAATTTGTAAATGGAAGCTTGCAATCGGCTGTAGTCTTTCAATTAAGGGCTAGGCCAACGAGGTAGAGGGGCTTAGAGAGCTCAACAGGCATTGCATTGCGCACCCAGAAATGACCCCCCCTCGGGCGCTGCCATCTTGGCCATTTCCATCGTCAGTCAAGTGACTTTTTCTGCTAAAAAGACGAAGACGCACGAGACTGCTGCGCTTTGAACTATTCAAAGCGTCTTTTTTAGCAAGGAGAACTTCAGCTGAAAGAAATTGAGGCGAAAGTGCCCAAGTCGATTCGCCGAAAGTTAAATAACGATGTACTGCCTTCAAAGTAGAGGGTGCTGTAGTCACTTTTGATTAAGTGATTTAGGCGTCTGTTCCTCAGTAGCCCCCTAGTAAACCTTTCTTTGCCTAAAACCGACGCTTTGGGTAACTCGGACAGCAGATATTCTTTCTGTATCGTCACTTTTGCTAAAAAGTCACGTGACTGGCGGCGGACATGGTCAAGGTGGTAGCGCCTACGGGGGGGTCATTTTTGGACTTCCGGTTAAGCACTTTAAGCCCCTCACCTCGTTGGGCTAGGCAAGGAAGCGCTATTTATGAGTAAAAACCGATCAGTGGAACGAAACAACCTCCGGAGTTAACAACGATTTCTGCTCGCATGCACTACGCGAATAGTTCGCGTCAAAACACCTCGTACCACACTTGGTATTCCTTCGTCGGGCGTACCGATATTCGCAGGGGGATGGCACCACGTGATTTTTTTGAAGCCTAGTCATAAAAAAAAGTCGGCCCGGAAGTGGTGCGGTTGGCGGTATACTATAAAATTATACCTCGTTCGGTAGAATTTACGAACTGATTGGCGGAATTTAGACGGCGAGTTAGGCTAGTTGGTTGTTTGTGCCAAAACAACAGGGGTACAAGGATAGATGCAGACAGGACGAGGCGCCTCGTCCCGTTTGCATCTATCCTCATGTCCCTGTTGTTTTGGCGTTTAACTTTAAGCTGCTTTAAGCATGACGGACGAAACCGACGGAGGAGATGCGCGGCGATGCCCGAGATCGTCGACATGCAGAGTCTGCGAACCACCAAAGCGTGAAATCCGCGTGATAACGCAGAACACCGCTTGAGCAACAGTTTTGACGACGGAGAACGACATTAAAGGTGTAGTCTCTATCGAAGAATAACCTGGCAGAGTGTTCGCGATCGCGGCGGTCGCGCTTGATTTTGTGGACGCATTGTCTCTGGAATTTCCTAACCACGACCGGAGTGTGTAGTGTAGGAAATTGCAATAATCGGTCCGAGCAGACATTCGCCCACTGGTGTTTCGTTTCCTCGGTGAGTGCGTACACCCTTTGCTGATGAAACTTCAAAGTTGATATATGTCGCTTCCGAATATGCTCCCATTTCCCGATAGACGTCGTGTGTCGCAACCGATGGGTCGAGGCACTGTTGTGTCGCATATATCGTTTTATTTTTCGGAGCGTTTGTCATGTAAATAAAACACGTGAATTAAAGCACTTCGAGACAAGTGGAACTAGGCCTTACTCGTGGTGACAAAATGAAGCCGCCTCCGCAAGGTAAGTTGATTGATACCCCACGAGTGCGTTTTCATTCCTGTTGGATCTTCCGAATTTTCGGCCGGACGCCTCACAGCGCTTAAGTCAGTTCTCGTTGTCGAAGGCATCATAATGACAATGTCTGCTGCTCCAGTGTGCTTTCGCAGAATAAAGGTCCTCCTTTGTTGTGGAAACAGCTTGATAGAGTAAACTAAAGCGCGCGGAAAGACCGCTGCCCAGGGCCGACTTGATCGAATACAGTCTCAGCTGAGACAGACTTAAAAAAGCACTGTCAAGGTTGGAGCGCGTGATGCGCGATTTATTTTTTGAGCGCTACCTTTGACAGCGCTTTCTTAACAGTATTTAATGAGACGCTGCTTCGAGTGAGCCGGCCCGTGTTTTAGCTTAGCCTCCTGGAGATTTACCAACAATGTATGTGCACCGCAAAGAAGTGCTTTAGTTCTGAAATTCCACATTTCAAGCTGTATCCGTAGTGGCTGAGGCAATACAAGGCAAAAGAATGATAAGCAGACGCTACAAATCCGACATCCACCGCCTCCACGCTGGTTGCCAGGCCGCCCCCGAGATTACTGGAGATGCCGCGGGGCTAGGGGCTAGGGGCTAGGGGGGGGGGGGGTTCTCCGATATGAACTAACCGGAGCCCGTCAAGGTTCCTAAAGGAAGCTCGTTTTGTACCTGCTAGAATTAGTTGAACCAAATCGAACAAAACCGCCCTATTGAAAAAACCAGCTTAAGCTGGTCCCAGCTTCAAGCTGGGTTATTGCCCCAGCATGCCCAGCTTGGCATGCTGGTCATGCTGGTTGATCTGGTCATACTGGTCATGATGGTTGATCTGGTCCCAGCTTCAAGCTGGGTTATTGCCCCAGCATGCCCAGTTTGGCATGCTGGTCATGCTGTTAAACTGGTCATGCTGGTGAACTTCCCAACCAGTTTAACCTGTTTAAATTAATACACAGAATAAAAAAGCCAAGCTCGTCAGAAAAGCCAACTCGGCATCCAATTTATTATTTTCGTACTTGCGGCAGCCTCACATGAACTCAAATGCTACACATCCTCGGCGCTGACACAGTACTAACCGACGCACAGATTCTCGGTGCAAATTGTCTACAATGTTAATAAAACCAGATTGCTTATCTCTCGATCAACACGAAAAAAATACTAGACACAGGCCAAAAACAGGCAATAGCAGACGAAAATACTACACGGACGAGAGAAGCGAACCTGGGTCCCGCCAGCGATGGGGGCGAAGCGGCAACTTGCGTGGTCGGCAGAGGCGAGGAAATCCGTGTGGCTTGGATGGCATTGGCGATACTCCTCGGCACCGCCGTCATTCTTGGGCACACACACGTTCGAAGACACGAAGCGACGCCGCAGTCGGGACGTCTGACATCTTCCCGCACTGAACGGACTGCCGCTCGCTGTCTTCTCAAAACCCGCTTCGCTTGCACCGTCGTTCAACTAGTCTCCAAACAACGCGCACACAGCCGTCCCTTCGATCTGCCCTCTGCCCAAGCTATCCAAACGCGTCTTCGATTCTCCGTTTCTACCACTCTCTCTCTCTCTCTCTCTTTTCTCGCACACAAAGGTAGCTTGCAGCGCGCCTGACGCGCCCGGTGGTCTACCAAAAACGAGAGGACAAAGAACAGGACGTGGCCTCGTTCCAGCAGCCGACCTTGTCGCGCGCGCTCCCAGCAATGCCAGTTCGGCTATCTCTAGCCGACCTTGGCGTGCGCGCTCCCAGCATGACCAGCTTGACCACCACGATTATTATTTCGACCAGATTCACCAGCTTGTCTCCCAGCATGACCAGCTCGTCTCCCAGCTTGACCACATTGGCTCCATGGAAAACCAGTTTGACCAGTTAAGACCAGACTGGCTCCCAGCTACACCAGATTGAATCTAAAACCAGATTCGAGTGAGACCATGCTGGTTTTTACTTAGACCAGACTGACCAGCTTAAATTCCAGCTTGCCCAGCTTAAACCAGCTTGATTGCCAGCTAAACCAGTTTAATTACCACATTGACCAGTTTGACCACCCTGATTACCAGCTTGACCACCTTAATTACCAGCTTGACCAGTTTGATTTTCATGCTGGTTTTTCCAATAGGGCGGTCCTCTAACCCCGTCCATTGCTCGGACCGACGATTCGAGGTCAATACTACTTGTTCCTCGAAACATGTCTCGGCCGCAGTCCATCTCACCCGGGACAGCACTGATGAAAACAGAAGTGTGTTGTAATGCAAACGCGAAGATTAGAGATTGGTAATCGGTGATGATCCATTAAAAGCAAAAGTCCTATCGGACGAGCGCCGTCGTGTCCGGAACAGCATCTCCGATATCAACGTTGTACACCGCTATTAGGACATTAGAGGACATTATACTTACGCAAAGAAGCCGTCTCTTCGCAGCCAAATGTTCCAGAAGACTTCGACACAGGTCACAGGTCGAGAGGAAACGCACACCGATGATCGGCCGACTAGCTTCCAGCACAACACGACACAATGAAACTAGCCCTAATGAAACGAGCCACGAGGCCGAGACCGGATGCTCTGTGACCGGATATACTGGGAAGGTGGCTGGGAGAAGCAAAGAACAAGGCATGAATAGACGTAGTTCTATGAAGTCATCAAGCCTAACGTAATCTAAAAGTTTTAGCGCGCCCTCTATGAACTGTTTATACAGTATTTTACACTCTTTAGTTAGTATTCTAAAACAACGAAGAAAGGGTAAACGCACAGGCGAGCTGGTGAAGTACTTCCATCTTAAACCGGAGACACGGCAAAATAAAAAAAACGGACAACACAACAACTGTTGTTGTGTTGTCCGTTTTTTTTTTATTTTGCCGTGTCTCCGGTTTAAGATGGAAGTTCTAAAACAAGCAGTGCGCTAGTTGTTGTACGAGTAACCGAAATTTTTAACATGTATTTCTTGTGAAGCGAGACCGCTAAATCACGCAAAATTACGTGCTTCCAAATGTACTTTTTTTACATATATGGGCCAACGAGGTAGAGGGGCTCGTTGACATCACCGTTATTAGATCTAATAACGGTGGTTGACATGGGACCCGCTTACAATGCCGCATGGACTACATTTAGGCATATGTCTAACAGAGTGAACGCCAATCAGTTTTTGGGCCTTTTGGGATCCGCGTTATGGGGAACAAATTTTGGAGGGGCCGGCTGGGTGTCGAAATCCGGCTTGGCTACGGTACTTACAATTCCTTCTTCAGGAAGAAGCGGTCTTCTTCTGGGAGGGCGAGGGCAGGGGTTACGACATTTTCAGTAACTTGTTGCATTCAAAAATATCAGCTCCCTTCCGTACCGCTCCTCGTGACCTCTGATGGAGCGAGTAATTCTTCGAACATAGGGGCAGCAATGAGCATAAATGGGCCCACCTCGGTCACATGGACATTGGCCGCATCCTGCATGTCTTTTCGTTGGGCTGCAACTTGCCTCAATGCGTCACGTCGTTCGCCTTCGGGTAGTTCGTGGGATTACCTTGCTCTTTCTGCCCCATGCGCGGTAATCCCGCATATGAAAAGAGCGCTCTCCTGTATGTGCTTTTCTGCCCACAGATGCTTCCTGTTCTTTTTACTCAAAATAAACTTGTGGCCATGGCACTGTGGGGCTCTGTCGCCTGGTCCTTCTACGGCATGGTGCACGAAATACGTTATTATGTTCGTAGCACACCTTTGTTGTAGACTCAAATTTGATGGCCGAACCTCTGCGTACTTAAATGAGTCTCCTGGAAGCCTCACAATGTGGCCGACGTTCCGCTAAGAGACCTCTTCTTCAGACTTACGATTAAATTGCTATTAAATGCAAAGGTGCAAGCGAGCTGGACAAGAATGACGAAAATAATCCCTAAAGAAGGGGAACAAGAGGGACAAAGGACAAGGCCTTTGCGTGGTGGGAACTGTGATGCCTGAAACGCGTCTTCTACTGGCGCGTTTACTGTCCTATAGTTCCCATGTATCAAGTTGCTCGCGATGCGGAAACCCGACCACGTCACGTTTGTCATGCTGTCGGAAAGCCCGATCCTGGCGGTTGGTTAAAAAGTATCGGCAAAACATACTAACAGATGCAAGTGACGCTATCATCGAGATGTCACAATGGACCGATCCCACGACGGCCGCGGTGCATCCTGGAAGTTGTAGTCCTTTATGGGTGCACCACGCCAGCACACGCCACACAAAGATGGCCGACCAATGTAGCGCTATAGAGCAGAGTAGCGCAATCTAGAACGCCGTCTCTCGGCGACTAGTGGCGAACGCCCGGAGGTTCCAACTGCGGTCAGAAATGCAGGGAGAACGTGAGAAAATCGTTGTTTCTTCAGTTTTGTGGGGATGTGCGGAATGGAAATCATTTTTGACATAATAATAAAACATTTTAGAATAATATCCGATAAGTTTTGTGCCATACAATGACGTAACTTTTTTTAAAAAATTGCCTGAGCGGCATCATGCAGCAGACGACACGGCGACGTCACAACATTCACGTGACCCGCTCCGGCCAACCCGAAAAGCCCATCTCCGCTGCGAGCAAAAATCGTCTGCTTCAAACGCCATTGCCTTGGAAATTGCCTTCTCAAAATTTGCACACGCGTCCGATATTATTAAAACTTTGCTAAAGTGTTTAGCGCTTTACTAACTTCACGACAGGCTAGTTTTGAAAAATGTGAACTCGCCATTACTTTTTTAATCAGCCGTGTTATGTCGATCTCCATGTATTCTCCCATAGGGCGGGCCGCCTCCTGGAACCCCGAGTACCACGTGACTCGCGCCGAGCCGCTCTGTCGGCCATGTTGTCGGCAAAACACGGGGTTCAAAGGATTGCGCTACTCTGCTCCGTAGGAGCTATATAGTGCTCTAGCTGCGGCGGCTGCGGTGACTGTTCTATATGGCTATTTTTGGGCTACTTCTAAGGATGCGGCGAACTTTTGTCGAAACCTCAGTTTCGACGTGGAACTTTGAGGTTTGACTAGTTAATTTTTGAACTTCTTATCAGCTTCGAAAAAAATTGTATCTCTTTTGGCCATTCGATAGAAGAGAGAGGAAAGAGAACGGCTTTTAACTTCTACAAACTTCGTCGTTTTGACAATGCGCACAGAAGCAATGCTTGCACAGTTCAAGCGGTCTCCACAGTGCGCGGTGAAGCAAACCAAACAGTGGTAGGGCGTCCTCTACCCGGACCTAGACTAAACTCTGCAAAGTTCAAGCGTGCTTTGGTGCCCATTGAGAGAATCCTTAGGCACCCAAGTTCGTAAATATAAAGTCCGCAGTTTCACCGCTGAACAATTGACTACCTTCCAGTCTTCGCCCACCCCAAGAAAGGACAACACAATCAGAAATAGCGTGAACCGAAATGGGGAACACTCATATTCTACACAAAGAAAAAGAGACGGGTAGGATATTGGTAAGGACCTTAGATATTGTGATCCCTGTTTGAAACACCAAGTGTTACCGTTCTGCTTCTGTATTCTGTTCGTTTACTGTAATGATCATATCCCGGGCTTCACGATAAAACTGTCTTTGTGTGTTTTGTACTTCTGAAGACCTGCGAAGGAGGTGACAGTTTTGTTTTCTTCCTTCCGAAGTGTTTTTTTTTTTTTTTTCAAGCCATTTCCGTCCGAAGCGCACCCCGGAGTGCGCTTCGGACGGAAATGGCTATACGCACTCCGCTCTTCTCGTATAAAAAGAGTGGACACAACCAGTTTCCTAAGCGGTGCCATGGCGTAGGAGGAGTTCGAAGAAGACGACGAGCTGAATGGCCGCGTTGGAAATGGGCTCCGTAAAGGAAATCTCAACGGCTAAGCCTAGCCGGGAATATTCTGAAACTATTTCTGCTTCTGCCCCCTCTGCACCAAGTACAACGGAATACAAGATTTTACTGCCACCCCTTCCCAACGGTAAGCTGCTCGAAAATTCACTGATTCTTCATGGGGACCCATCAGCCCGGCCATACCGCATCGACGATTTCGGTCCTGCTTTGAAGAAAATCATCAACCCAAATGAGCTAGCTTCGCTTGGGGCCTACCAGTACAATCATGTGTGGCTGCTCACAGTGCGTTCTGCCAAGGAAAAAGAAAGACTGCTGCAGCTCCGAGAGATCCATGTAAAGAACAAAACATGTTTGATAATAGACGGGAGCAAGACTGCGCTGTCCATGAAGGTGCACTGGGTTCCAACTACCGTCCCAGATGCAAACGTGGCCAGCGCGTTCTCTACGTTTGGAAAAATAAAAAGCATCGTTCGAGACAAGTGGCACTACTCCGGCTTCGAGGATGTGGAGACGACCACAAGAATACTATCAATTGAATTGAACGAAGGTGTGACTGCGGACAGCTTGCCGCATCAGCTCAGGATTTTAGGAACAACCGTCCTTGTCTCCGTGCCTGGCAGAGCACCGCAATGTCTGCGATGCAGGCAAGTCGGACACGTCCGAGGCCAGTGCCGTGCTCCCTGGTGTAGCGCATGTCGAAAATTCGGCCATGATCTCGAAGACTGTGTCCCAACGTACGCCAACCGAACGACTGCATCTCTCCAGATTCCTGCAGACTACTTGATGGACGCAGAAGAAACAGCACAAACAGAGGTTTCGGCAGAAGTCAGCACCGCTCACAGGACAGCCTACGTCGAGGCAGCCTCACGGACTGAGAAGTGCGTAGACAGGTCGGCGTCGTCATGCTCTGCAACGAAGGAGACAGTGAGCAATATTGTATCACCAACTCTTTCAGTGCTCTCGTTCCTGAAGACCAAGCTGAAGAGTCAATGCAACCAGAGGAAGAGGCATCCGAAATGGACGAAACCAGCGACAAAGAAATGCTCGGGAAAAGAAAGGGAGACGAAATTCTGTGCACCACAGATCCTGCCTCAACATCTCAATGGGAGCGGGCAGAGTCAAAGAGGAGAAGGAAGAGGAGAACAAAATCTCTATCTCCCAAATCTCCCATCACCGATCAGGATTCGATCCTGTCCGGCCACGAGGACCCGAAGAGTCAGTAAGAGACGCTTCACTTTGCTCCATCACCTAATACGTTCAATGAACGACGATCCTTATGGTGCTTTTACAATCGGGACTTTTAACGTAGCCAGCCTTATAAGTCAACGCCGTAAGGTATGGCTAAAAGAGATTCTTTATCAACACAAAATTGATATAATATGTCTACAGGAAACCAAAATCTCAACTAGGGAGCAAGAAATTGATCTTGTCACCTACTTCCAGGATACATATTATTGTTATCACGCTCCATCCTCTGGCCTAAGTGCTGGGACCGCTATCTTTCTGCGAAAAGCCTCACGCCACTGCAGTTTTGTTGACAGTGAGCTAGCAGCAGATGGTCGCACAGCCGTCATAGACGTTTTGGTTGGCGAAGAATTAATCAGAATAGTTTCCATCTACGCACCAAACAACTCTTCGGATCGTTTAACGTTTTTCAAAAGCTTACGTTTAACTTTAGACACCCCAAGTAAAGTTATCTTAGCGGGTGACTTTAATTGCGTACTGTCGCGGAACGATTGCACAACTTCTGGATGGAAAAGTGATGGAAGCATAGTGGAGTTGAAAAACATTCTTCATGACTTCGACCTCAAGGACGCGACAGAAGACATAAAATGTTTTGATCCCAAATTCACCCATTGGCAAGGTGCTTCTCATGCGCGGCTTGATAGAATTTACATCTCAGGTGAAATCCTCAGTGACAAGATTCAATATACTGCGAATCCCACTCACCTCTCAGACCATGCGCTAGTGTCCATCTCGTTTAAAAGACAGACAGATCGCTCCACACGTAGTTCAGGAATTGAATCTTGGAAGATGAACAACACAATTTTGGAAGATGAAGTATTTCGCGAACAAATTCGTAAGGAGCTAACCGTTCTAGCCGAAAGTGAGCCAATCGACGCTTGCAAATGGGAAGCGTTCAAATCTTATGTGAAAGTGCAAGCGGTCATCCGAAGCTCTGTAGAGAGTGCACGAAAAAAGGCCAAAGAACTAGCTCTCGTAAATGCTTTACGATCCCTCGTCACTGAAGAAGAACGACGCCCAGGCGTATTTATTGAAGATATTAAGAACATAAAAAAACAATTGCAACAGCTTATTGAACAGCGACACTGGGGAGCGCTCATTCGAAGTCGAGAGCTGACACTAGAACACGAGGAACAGCCATCTAAAGTTTTTCACGCATTCGAAAGACTACGACGCAAGCGTAATGCTATCACCGCGGTTCATCATAAAGACTCAATAGCATCTACACAATCAGATATATGCGCTGCGTTTGAAAGCTTTTATGGAGACCTATTTGCAAGGACG